AGAACCCTTCTTTTTTGCAAGTTCATCGTAAGTTCAACAAAACCAATTATTGTATTCCAGAGTATTATTTTGCATATGGATATCGTTATTGATTTCTAGAGTTACATTTTTAAGTCATAAGCATAAATAAAAGAATTAAAAACATTTATATAGATATGGAATTAGTACTACCCATGTCTAATGCACATCCTTATTTTTCCCTCACAAATTTGGGCAAAAAAGTGTGCATTATACATGGCAAAATATGATACATATATGTATATATGCCACATCTTTATCCATTCATGGGCATCTAGGTTGCTTCCATATCTTGGCAATTGTAAATAATGCTGCAGTGAATATAGAGGTGCACATATCTTTTCAAATTAATGTTCTCGTTTTCTTTGGATAAATACCCAGAAGTGGAATTGCTGAGTTGTATGGTATATCTATTTTTTGTTTTTTGAAAACAGTATCTCTATACTGTTTTCCATAGTGGCTGCACCAGTTTGCAGTCCCACCCACAGTGCACAAGGGTTCCCTTTTCTCTACGTCCTCACCAACACTTGTTACTGTTGACTTTTTGATAATATCCATTCTGACAGGTGTGAGGTGGTATCTCATTGTAGTTTTGATTTGCATTTCTTTGATGTTTAGTGATGTTGAGCATCTTTTCATATGTTTGTTGGCCATCTGTGTGTCTTCCTTAGAGAATGTCTTTTCATGTCCTCTGACCATTTTTCGATCAGATTTTTTAGTATGAGTTCCTTATATGTTTTGGATGTAAACTCCTTATTGGACATATCATTTGTGAATATATTCTCCCATTCAGTAGGTTGCTGTTTTGGTTTGTTGAAAGCTTCCTTTGTTGTGCAGAAGCTCTTTAGTTTGATGTAGTCCTATTTGTTTATGTTTTCTTTTATTTCCTTTGTTTGAGGGGATGTATCCAAAAGATATTAATCAGACTGATGTCAGATAGTTTACTTCCTTTGTTTTTCTCTAGGAATTTTATGGTTTCAGGCGTTACATTTAAGCCTTTAATCCATTTTGAGTTTATTTTTGTATATGGTAAAAGAGAGTGGTCCAGTTTCATTTTTTTGCATGTATCTGTCCTGTTTTCCCAGAACCACTTGTTGAAGAGACTGTCATTACTCCAGTGTATATTTTTACTTTCTTTGTCATAGATTAGTTGAACATATAAGTGAGTGTTTATTTCTGGGCTCTCTGTTCTGTTCCATTGATCTATGTGTCTGTTTTTGTGCCAGTACCATTACTGTTTTGATTCTTATTGCTTTGTAGTATAGTTTGAGACCAGGGAGTGTTATACCTCCAACTTTGTTCATCTTTCTCAAGATTGCTTTAGCTACTTGGGGTCTTTTTTGGTTCCATATACATTTTAGGATTATTTGTTCTAGTTCTGAGAAGAATAACATTGGTATTTTGATAGGAATTGCGTTGAATCTGTAAATTGCTTTGGGTAGTATGGCCATTTTAACAATGCTAATCCTTCCTATCCATGAGCATGTTATATCCTTCCATTTATTTGTGTTCTCTTCAGTTTCTTCCTTCAGTGTCTTAGTTTTCAAGTAGAGGTCTTTCACCTCCTTGGTTAAGTTTATTCTTTAGGTATTTTATACTTTTTGATGCAACTGTGAATGGGATTGTTTTCTTTATTTCCTTTTGATTGTTTGTTATTAATGTATAGGAACATGACAGATTTCTGTATATTAATTTTTTATCCTGCTACTTTACTGAATTCTTTTATTCTATTAATTTTTTTTGGTGGATCCTTAGGGTTTCCTTTTTTTTTCCTTTTTTTCTTTTTTTTTTCAGCTGAGCCATCCTGCCACCTGTTGGCAGCTCAGCTCAGGCCGGGACTTGAACCGCTGTTGCTCAGAGCTCGCACTCTTGAGCGAGCTCTTAACCAACAGCCACTCGGCAGCCCAAGTGTTTTCTATATATAGTATGATGTCATCTGCAAATAGTGACAGTTTTGCTTGTTCCTTTCCTGTTTGGATACCTTTTATTTCTTCTCCTTGTTTGATTGCTGTGGCTAGGACTTCCAGGACTATGTTAAACAATGGTAGTGAAAGTGAGTATCTTTGTCTTGTTTCTGATCTTAGAACTGAAAGCTTTTCACCATTGAGTATGATATTAGCTGTGGATTTGTCATATATAGCATAGCCTTTATCAAGTTGAGGTAAGATTCTTCTATACCCATGTTGTTGAGAGTTTTTAAATATAAATGGGTGTTAAATTTTGTCAAATGTTTTTTCTGCATTTATTGAGATAATCATATAATTTTTATCCTCAGTTTTGTTGATGTGATGAATTACATTAATTGTTTTGCGGATGTTGAACCACCCTTACATCTTTGGTATAAATCCCACTTGATCATGGTGTATAATCTTTTTAATATACTGTTGAATTCCATTTGCTAGTCTTTTGTTGAGAATTTTCCATGTGTGTTCATCAAGGATATTGGCCTGTAATTCTTTCTTTGTAATGTCTTTGTGTGGTTTTGGTATCAGGGTAATGCTGGCCTCGTAGAATGAGTTTGGAAGTGTTCCTTCCTCTACAATTGTTTGGAATAGTTTGAGAAGGATAGGTACTAATTCTTCTTTAAATGTTTGGTAGAATTCACCTGTGAAGCTGCCTAGTTGTGGGTTTTTGTTTGTTGGGAGTGTTTTGGTTACTACTTCAATTTCATCACGAGTAATTGATCTGTTTAGATTATTTGTTTCTCTCTGGTTTATTTTTGGAAGGTTGTATGCTTCTAAGAATTTATCCATTTCTACCTGATTGTCAAATTTGATGGCATATAATTGTTCAGAGTATTCTTTAATGATCCTTTGTATTTCTGTGGCGTTGGTTGTAATCTCTCCTTTCATTTCTGATTTTATTGATTTGTTTTATCTCTCTTTTCTGTTTGATGAGTCTTGCTAGAGGCTTGTCAATTTTATTTATCCTCTCAAAGAAGCAGATCTTAGTTTCATTAATGTTTTGTATTGTTTTTCCATTTTCTATTTCATTTATTTCCACTCTGATCTTTATTATTTCCTTCCTTCTGCTTACTTTGGGTTTTGTTTGTTCCTCTTTTTCTTGTTTCTTTAGGTGTAAGTTTAGATTGTTTATTTGGGATTTTTCCCTACGTCTTGAGATAGACCTGTATAACTATAAACTTTCCTCTTATAACTGCTTTTGCTGCACCCCATAGATTTTGTAAGGCTGTGTTTTCATTTTCATTTGTCTCAAGGTAGTTTTTGATTTCCTCTTTGATCCATTGGTTGTTTAGAAGCATGTTGTTTAATCTCCACAAATTTGTGTTTTTCCATTTTTTTTCTCTGTAGTTCATTTCTAGTTTCATGGCATTGTAGTCAGAAAATATGCTTGATATAATTTCAGTCTTCTTGAATTTATTGAGGCTTATTTTGTGACAATACTAGGCAGTTTTTAAAAGAAAGCATTTTATTTTAAACATTTACTGATTTAGAAGCAGTTTCTTCTGCTTTTATTTGTTTTCCAGATTACTAGTGTAGCCAAAAGTCAGCAATTGTAGCTAGTATTATGTATGTGGCATTTAAAAGATGTGGTCAGTTGTAAAATGTTGTATTAAAGAAACGGAAGGGGCTGTCATTTGCAAAGGCATTGGAGGGCCGTAATGAGGAGTAAATATGGTCTCTGCTCTTATTTAGGGACACCCAGTTCAGAGGTGAGAGTGACATAAACCACTGTGAGAACCAAATTCTAAGAAATGCCCCTCTAGGATTTGGCATTTTCCCTAGCCAAGACATCAAAATTTAGATTGCAGCAGCTTAGTCCTTTCTCATAAAATGAACCAAATTCTATTTTTTTCCCAATACCTATTTTTGCCTGACTTTACAATTTTTTTAATACTTTATTAGAAAGCCATGTGAGTAGTACATCTACATCTGAAATAACAAGCCATTTCAAACAGAACAGACCTAATAACCAGAGCAAGCCTATGGCTTCATTCACACTGAACTCGATATTGAACTGGAACGTCCATGGCTCACTTTATTGATACCCATTTTTACCAATGATCTGAGGGATAATGTCTTCAAGCCTTTGTGTTTGTTACCCTAGTACAGCTTACTCTGGGTGTAACTTTGTAAGGAGGGGGCTCAGCAGTCTCTCAAAAACGAGAGACCATGGTTGGCATCTTCATTAGGAGCTCAGTTGGGAACAAACACGTTTTGTTAACAATAGCATCACAAAATTGTGCTATCTGTGGTTGAACTTGATCACACAGAGTTTTATTTGAGTTGCATGGATGAGCATTAAATAGAAGTCCTCATCAGCAAGGCCCCATGGTTTAGTAGAAGGAGATCAAGACCGAGACATAGAAGACGTGGGTCTTATGCAGCTACTGGTGGTCCTAGGACAGGGTTCTTATGTGTACCTGGTTTTTCCTGTTTGTAAAATAAGGATAACACAGGGACATTACCATGTTTGCCAGGGACATTATGAGGATCAAATAGATAACATTTATTAAAGTGTTTGGAAGTAAAAATTATGTCATCCTTAGATGAGAGAAAATATTTGGGGTTTAAGATATTTAATTATTTTCCTTTTCCTTTTCTGATTATTTTAGTGTGTTTTACTCTGTAGAAAGTCTGGAGTCTCTGACTACTATGCTTTGGACGATAATCACGCCCTTCACTTAACTAGGAAGATTGTGAGGAATCTAAATTATCAGAAGAAATTGGATGTGAGTAGGATATGCTCTTTTATCTTTTCTTTTCCTGAAAAGCATTTTGGCTTATGTTGTCTTGAAATAATGTCTTAAATTGGTAAATATGATATTTCTATATTCTGCAGATTACCATTGAGCCTTCTGAAGATCCTTTATTTCCTGCTGATGAATTGTACGGAATAGTTGGTGCTAACCTTAAGCGGAACTTTGATATCCGAGAGGCATGTAAACCTTGAGCTGTCAACCTTTCTGTCAACCTCTTTATGTGTGTATCCATTTTTAAAACTAAAGTCTGTTTAGATATGTTCATGCCCAGGAACTGTGGGAAAGGTATCTTCCTATAGTGTAGGTATCATTGATACACATAAATATTAAAAGAGAGAGGGGGAAGAAATCCTTAACTATTGGAAAGTTTTCCTTGAACAATAACAAAGCTTGGCTTAGTCATAAATAGTACTTCATGTTCCTGTGCACATTAGCAATGATGTGCAGGCAATGATGCAGGGCAGGCAACGTCAGCTCTTTCTATTCAATGTTCTTATTCCAGGGAATGGATGAAATGTCAGTAAGTTGTTGAAAGATAAAACATACTCTTTTTTTTTTAAACATACCCTTTGAGATCAATAATTACATTGGCGAAGATTAGACTTTTGGTTACAGTGGATGTTGCTATGGTTACAGATTGTCGACATGGTCTGTAGTCTAGATTGACAATTTTTAGTGTTTGCATATGTCTTGTTCAGTATCCGTAGCTGGCAGAATACTTTTTAAATTAGAACATTACCATAATACCAGATTCTGCCTTCATATTTTTTTACTTTTTCCATTGACTATGAAACTATTATTGTACTAATTGTGAAAAACGTAGGAAATATAGAAAACCATTAAATTGCTTATAATTCTATCCAGAGAAAGCATCTAATATTTTGGTGTTTTGGAATAATGTGTATATATACAATTTTATGTAGTTAAGATTATATATATTAATTGTGCTTTTCCCAATTTAAATTATAAACATTTCCCAATTATTTAAAAGTTTTTCATGAAACATTTTCCATGGTTAGGTTCTAATTCCTATAATAGTACCTGGCAACATAGTAGGCACACAGTAAACATTTTTTTGAATGAATTAATGAATATAAAATACACTTATGGATATATAGAATTACTTGTTTAGTCAGTACCTTACTATTGTTAGAGAGTCTTAAATCCTTGATTTTTATGCAGCTTCAATTTAGCAAGGTGACTTCATTAACTGTAAGTTTTAGAATTAGGATTTTAGTTTGACTTTCCAACTGATTACAGGCACAGAAAAAATGGTACTTACAATCTGATGTGCCTGAAAAATGAGTTGTTCCAGATAGCCAAATTTTCTAGATGGCTAAGATTCATCCTCTTAAGCATAAACATTATTTTTTCATTTATTCAACAGTATTTGTTAAGTACTTGTTCTATCAAGGTATTGTTTCATGTACCAGGAGCATAGAAATGAGCAAGGCAGATGGAAATCCATGCCTTCAAAGTAGGTCCATTTCATTTTAATGGAGATCTTTTTAAACAGATAGACTCTTGCCTTCTTAAACAGTATCCTGGACTTTTACCTTCTGCTAGCTCATGTGCATCATTGTGATGACAATTTATTACACTTTTGTGTAATAGCAAACTAGCATTGTATGGAAGTCTTTCTAGCATGTGGATCTGTGGGCTAGAACTGGAATAGGAATCAGAAAACCCACACTCCAGTCCTCGTTTCCCTAGTCAGTGGTACTGGGATTGAAACTCTGAGCATCGATTTCAGCTTTTAGATGTAGGAATAGTAGTACTATGTGATCCGTCTACTTTCTGACGTTTGAGTCCTTGTGAAGATGAATTACTACATTTTATATGGCAGGGTGGTGTTC